AAAAAAAAAAAAAAAAAATCATTTGCTACTCTGATAGCTGTGCTTCTAAAAATGTGGACAAGCACATTTTTCTAAACGTAATTCATAACATAAGCAATTTATTAATGCTTGTAGTGGAACATGGTGTGACTTGATGTTTTACAAATTAAAAGGCACTTTTGTGATGAAAAATATAGTTTAACTTTATTTTATATATGTTGATTGCTTGAGTAGTAAAAGAACGAAATTTAACATCAAATATTGTTATCCGTGGAAGGGAATCATTTCTATTCAGATTTCCTTTCTAAATCTAACCTACACTTCTAATCATTTGCGTTTCGTAAGTCCTATACCTTTGCATTGCAAAAATCTATAAATATAGTTTATTACAGATAAGTTGTTTTTCAAATTACCACCAGTGATCCAGTAATTAAATTCATTTTGCTTCAACTTTCCCAGCATCATTCAAGTTTTTTTTTTTTTTAAAGGCATTATAGTTCTGAAGCTTTTTTAAAAATTTGATTTAGGTTACACACTGGCGTTTGAAAGGCAATAACTTTCTCATCCCCCAGTATGACTCCCCTCACCTCTCCCCTGTCCATCCACACATGGAGCTGACTCGGGCATTTGAGACTTTAGACGCAGTTTTTGAAAACAGTCTTTGCAATTCTGGAAATAGCTCTAAAGATTGAGGAGAAAAATTATACCCCTGAGACAAAGATATTAACTCGCAACATCGTGTAGAAGGCAAGTGCTTATGCCCTTATATAGAAAAGGTTTTGCTCTTTTTGATGTTGTTGTAAATCTTCCATCCAGTGTGAAAACATTCTTTTTCCTTGTGAGGTTGTCAATTCTGTGAGGACTGAAAAGATTTCATTAATCTGATGGCTGCCTAAGTGCCAAGAAACCGGGGCATGGGACAGGGGGGCACCACCACACCCCTTTCTGACTGACTGCCTCTGCAGTTATTTCTCCAAGAACCTGAAATATTGACCTCCCAACCTCACCTCCAGTGACGGCCTCCATTCCTCACAGACCCCTCCACCCATGGCAACGGCCAGATCCTCAGCTGGGCTCCACGGCGCTCTGCATTTTTGCGCACTCCTCTGTTGAAAGCACAGATAAATATATTAGGGGAAGTCATCAGCTTTGCCGCCCAGTACCTGGACAGCTGACACTCGATTCTCTACCTTTTTTTTCCCTGAAACTTGGCAAAAGATGCCCAGGTATCTGTCAGTCACCAGCTCCTGGACAGCCCCCAACTGGTCAACTCCTCACAGCAAAGTGGAGAAGCTGGTGACAGGAAGCACCGGGAAATCTAAGAAATCAGCTAGTTAGGAGGATTTGTTGGAACCTGTGGACATCCTTCAGGATTTGTCCCTGTGGCAAATCTCAGAAATGTACGGGGATACATTCAAACCCTGAGATCCTACCCACACCCCAAGAAAACTTTGAGAAACAGTTTCTTTCCCTCTTTATAAAAAGTGTTTATTTATCCCACATGCTGAGAGCCAGCCACTGTGCCCGGAGCAGAGGAGAGATAATCACCAAGTCTTGCTTTGGAAGAGCACCTTCAATTATGTCATCAGGGATCAAGGTCACTGCAGGATGCCATGGAACCCCTAGAAGGAGGCACCAACCTAGATGAGAGGGCCAAGGAAGCCCAAGGAAAGGAGATGCTATTTGAAGTTCTGGAAGGTGAGGAGAAAGGAGTCAGGCAGGTAAGGAGACTGGATGTGGGGAAGGAGGAGGGATTCCAGGGACAGGAAGCTGATGGGGACAAAGTATCCACCTTGTCCCCATCAGGACAAGAGTGAGGGCACTGGGACCCACAGGCTGAATTCAAGGTGGCTGCCGGGTGGGAACAAAGAAGGGGGTAAAAAGCTGGAAAGGCAGCCAGGCTTCTCAGGTCACCATAAAGGCTTTGGATTTTCTTCTACCAGGAACAGAACCCCAAAAGAGTTGACTTGAAAAAGGACCCAGTGATGGGTCCAAGGATCCTCCCAGCATGGTGCTTACAGGTGAGGCTGTCAGCCATCAAATAGGAAACACTGGAGAAAGGAAGCAGCTGGGAGTGAGGTTGAGGGGTACGGTTTGGACACGGTGAGTGTCAACGCCTGCAGGTCATCCAAGTCGAGATGGCAGGTAGTCATTTAAAATGGAACTTAGAGGAGAGCCACAGACCAGAGAATATGGGCGAGGAACCACTGGTCTTTGGGTAACCGTGGGAATTCACATGATGATTGTGGAGAATACACAACGAGGATAGGGAAGGCGAGAAGAGGATGGGACTCCAGAGTACCCAGATTAAGGGACATGTGGCATGTAAGTGGCATCCAGAGAGAATTGACGAGTGGGCATGTCATCCAAACCCAGTGTGGGTGTTTGTGTCTTGGGTTACGAGGATTGCAGGAGGTGGCCTTGGCTGGGCAGACCACGATACTCAGTGTCAAAGAATAGCATTTGTGACTCACTTGACCTTCTCAATGGAGGAAACTCAAAAGAAGCACCAAGCAGACCTCAGAGCCATTCAATCCTGTTTTCCTCGTTCCCAGAACAACCTTAATTCTGATTCTTTGTCTGATACTTGGTTGCTAACCAGGAGCTAGACATTCAGAACTTGGGCAGGAGCTGGAGAAAAGGTGCTGGGAAGGGATCATGTCTTGCTTACTTTTAAACTCCCGATAGCAGCCTACAACCCCAGACCTGCAGAGTAGGCACAAGATGGATCTGCAGCAAAGAAGGAATCTTGGCATTTCCTAAAGGATAAGCATTGCCGGGAAGCAAAGGGACTTTCCCAGCATCACATAGCTGGTTAGTGGCAGAGCCTGGGTTTCTGGTTTTTAAACCATGCTTCCCCACCACTCCTAAGAGAAGCTGTGCACAGCAGCTGCATCTATTGAGGTCAGAGCCATTCAAGTTCAGGACATGTGCCAGCATATAAAAAAGAAAAAGGGAGAAATGAGGGGTGGGCATTATGCACATTGTTTGTGTCCCGTGCCCTAAGCACATCTGGTTAACGTGTTTCCCAATCCTCAGCATTCCCGCTCTGATGCCATTTATATACTCAGCTTTCACCATCTGGCCAGCCCTTCTTCCAACACACACACACACACACACACACACACACGCACGCACGCACATACACACGCCTCTACCCTGGGGTCATAACTTCTGGCTTCTCAGGGGAGTTCTGGCAGAAACAACAGCAGGCAGACCATGGAGACCTATGACTCCTGTCCCCTCGGGCTCCTCCTAGGGCAGAGGTGGCAGGAAGTGGCCACAGAAGTTCCTTCTCCAGGCTGCTGTGGCTCTTAGCTGAAAGCTTCTCTCCTAATTCCCCAGAGAGCCCCTGGCCAACCCCAAACAATGCTATCAGCTTCCTATTAAATTGCCATCTGTTTCCTTTTTCCCAGGACAATGCAGCCCAGCAGCACAGCCTGTGAGCTGATACTCTGCAGTTTTCACAGGTGCAACAAAGAAGACGTGTTTCTGCCTCCATCTTTACGGGGCCTTCCTTTCTCACATTGTTTCCAATGCTCTGACCAGTTATAGTTACCAGCTGAACCACTCAGTAGCTGTTGTCAACTGCACTAAAATCGCACAATGTACA